ATAATATCAATAAGGAATACAGTTCACTTTTTTTTTTTCTTTTAAGATAAACATATACTTGTGCAGGTGTAACTTCTCATATATAAATACAAGTATAAATGTTGAAGTAGTCACACCTACTACATATACCAAAAACAAAAACAAAACAAAATAAGAACAGTAAAAGAAGGGAACAACCCCCCCCCCCCATTCCCACCCTGTCTCAGCCCAACACATTCAGCAGAAAAATAAGATAAATAATAATAATACTAATTAAAAAAAACAATAATAATAATAATAATGAAAAAAAAACTTCAGTAAAGTACAGCAACAGGCACACATATTTAATTAGGTAGGAACTCCAAATCTGAAAAATAAGAAAGAAAACTCTGCCATTTTTGGAAAAAATTGTCCGTACATCCTCTCATTGTGTATTTGATTTTTTCAAGTTTAAGAAAAAACATCATGTCCTTAAGCCACTGGGTGATGGAGGGATATCTAGCAGACTTCCAGTTTAATAATATTGAACGTCTTGCGATTAAAGATGTAAAGGCTATTATATCTTTTTGCTTTGAATTTAATACTACTACGGAATTAGAAATCCCAAATATAGCAGTCAGTGGACAAGGTTGCAAATTAACTTTGAGAATAGTAGACATAGCTGTAAAGTAACCGGACCAAAAAGCAGCCAGGTCAGGGCAAAAAAAAAACATATGACTAAGATGACATGGAGAGTCCTGACACTTGTCACATTTGTCTTCAATTTCTGGATTGATTTTACTGAGTCTGGACTTAGAGAAATGGACTCTATGTAAAACTTTGAATTGGATAAGACCAAGACGAGCACAAGAGGTAGTAGACCGTATTCTGTCAATTGCATCTTCCCAGAGATCTTCATTTAACTGTATTCCTAACTCTGATTCCCATGCATTCTTAATTTTGTTATCCAACTGAGAGTTTAGTTTCAGAATTGAGTTATATATCTTTGAAATATTTCCTCTCTGAGAAGGGTTATATAAAAGCAAGTTTTCCCAAGGCAACTCCGGGGGGATTGAAGGAAAACTGGGAAAGAGTTTTGAAACAAAACTACGAATCTGAAAGTAGCGAAACAAATGAGTGCCCGGAAGATTATACTTAGAGGACAAATTAGTAAAACTATCAAACACACCATGAACATACAGATTCTTTAAGTGTCTAACACCCTTATCATACCAAACTGAAAAGAGAGAGTCTGAAAGAGATGGTGGAAATAAGTGGTTGTTAGTTAAAGGAATCATAGAAGATGCAGTTAAAAATTTATGTTGCCTTCTAAACTGATACCAGATCTTAAGGGTGTTAAGTACCACTTGATTGTCTGTATATAGAGAAGGTTTTGTAGGCAGAGAAGAATATAGCAAAGCCGGTATAGAAGACCCTTTGCAGGATGATTGTTCTAGTTTACACCAAGGGGAGTGAGGAGATTCCAACCAGCCACAGAGTTTTTGGATGTGAGCAGCCCAGTAATACATCTGAAAATTAGGTAATGCAAGTCCACCACTAAGTTTACACCTTTGCAAAAATGTTTTACGGATCCTAGGTGGCTTTCCACCCCATAAAAAAGTGGCAATTGTTTTATCTAAAGAATCAAAAAAAGTTTTGGGCAGAAAAAGAGGTATTGATTGAAACAAAAACAGAAATTTTGGTAAAATATTCATCTTGACAACATTTACTTTGCCAATCAATGAAAGTGGGAGACTACGCCATCTTTGAATATCTGAGTTTATCTTCGAAATAAGGGGGGTGAAATTAGCTGTTAGTAGGCCAGATATAGATCGTGTCACATTAATACCCAGATATTTGAACCCAGGGAAAGTAAGCTTAAAGGGTAAGTCGGATTGTTGGAGATCACAAGCAGCACTATTTACGGGAAAACACTCACTCTTCTCCATATTTAATTTATAACCTGAAAAAGAGCTATAGTTTTCCAGAATACTCAAAATGATGGGGAGGGAAGAAGCAGGGTCAGTTACATATAATAACAAATCATCTGCATATAATGACAGTTTGTGTTCGATCGCATTTCGAGTTATCCCTCTGAATAAGGGAGAGGATCGTAAAGTTATAGACAGAGGCTCAATGGCAATAGCAAAGAGTAAAGGTGATAGTGGACACCCTTGACGAGTCCCGCGTCCAAGAGCAAAATAATCAGAAAAAGTGTCATTAGTGTGAACAGAAGCTTTAGGGGAAGAGTAAAGAAGACGAATCCATGAAATAAATGCATCACCAAATCCAAATCTCTTCAAAACAGCAAACAAGTACTCCCATTCCACCCTGTCGAATGCTTTTTCAGCATCAAGAGATACAACTATCTCTGGAAGTTCAGCCGAATGTTTAGAATAGATTATATTAAAAAGTGTGCGAGTGTTAACAAACAACTGACGCCCCTTTATGAAGCCATTTTGCTCCTCAGAAATAATCAGGGGAAGTACATTCTCCAAACGAGAAGCAATTATTTTTGCCAAGACTTTAACGTCAACATTAAGCAATGATAAAGGTCTGTAGGACCCACACAAAGTTGGGTCTTTGTCTTTTTTATGAAGGAGAGCTATAGTGGCTTGTGTCAGTGTTGGTGGTAAAGAACCTTGTTTAAAGGATTCATTAAATACAGCCAAAAGTAATGGTGCCAATTTTCCAATAAACTTCTTATAGAATTCAATAGGAAACCCATCAGGGCCGGGGGCTTTATTAGACTGCATAGCTTTGACTGAATTAAATACTTCAACCAGGGATAGTGGAGAGTCCATGGTCCTGGCAGTGTCTGCATCAATAACAGGATTATCAAGGTTTTGAAGAAATGTGTCCATATTAGCTCTGTCTACAGGAAAGTCTGATTTATATAACGTAGAATAAAATGTTTTGAAAATAGCATTAATTTCAGAAGGGTCTGTGGTAGTTGTGTGACTAGTGTTTGTAATGCTAGGTATCAGGCGTGAGGCAGCTTGACGCCGTAGCTGGTGTGCCAGTAAACGACCTGCTTTGTCGCCATGTTCATAATATAAACCCCGACTATGTAATAACAAGCGTTCTGCTTCTTTAGTCGAAATTAGCTCAAATTCTGCTTGCAAATTTGCTCGCTGCTTAAGCAGTTCTGGAGTGGGATTTCCTGCATGTCTTTGATCAAATTCCCTAATTGCAGATGTTAATTCGTTAAGTCTAGAATTAAGTCTTTTATTAGAAAGTGAAGAATAATAAATAATTTGTCCTCTAAGATAAGCCTTAATTGTCTCCCATAACAATGAATATGATGTAGTATCATTCTGATTAAAGAAAAGGAACTCGTCAATCGCATTTGAAATAAAATCGCAAAACTCTTTATCTGCCAATAAAAGAGAATTAAACCTCCAAAGAGGCGGGCTACGTTTGTAAGTAGAAAACTGAATCTCCAATAACAATGGCGCATGATCTGATATAGTTATAGCCAAGTAATCAGTAGAAACTACACAAGAATCAAGAGCCCTATCAATAAAAAAATAATCAATCCTGGAATAAGATTTATGCACCGGGGAAAAAAAAGAAAACATTTTTTTAGATGGATTACGAGATCTCCACGGATCAATAAAACCATTTTGAATCATAAAATCTGAGAATGTTAGCGACATGGCCGATTGAGTTAAATTCCGGGGACTAGAGCGATCTAAAGTTGGATCAGAAACACAATTTAGATCCCCTCCAAAAATCAACAGGTGGGTATTCAAAAAGGGCAGATTTCTTAATAATCTATTGGCAAATTCAGCGTCATCAAAGTTTGGAGCATATACATTCACCAACACAACCTTTCTCTGCATTAGAGTACCAGCAACTATCAAGTATCTACCATCCTTATCAGCTATAACATTACTGGGGGAAAATTGAACTCTGTTACTTATTAAAATCGCCACTCCCCTTGCCTTAGAATTAAAATCTGAATGAAAGATTTGCCCCACCCAAGGGCAGCGTAGTCTGTGGTGATCTTTAATTCTAAGATGGGTCTCCTGTAGGAACACTACAGAACATTTCAGACGTTTCAAGTGTGTAAAAACTTTAGACCTCTTGACAGGATTGCCCATGCCTCTAATATTCCAACTAATAAATCTAAGAGGTGTGCCTGATCCAGCTGTGCTGGGATCTAAACTGTTGTTAACCATTTGAATAAAAGAAAGTCATGAAAAATATTACTAAGCTGAGACAGGACTCCCTCCCCCAAAACATCCCCAACATAAAAACACCCAAAGTCCCCATATAAACACAGAACAGAACAATGGAGACAGCAGTGTTCACACAGCAAAAAAGGTTGCCCACGCTAGAGTGAAGACAACACAGAGACCGTGCAGAGCAAAAACAAAAAAGTTTTTTTTTTAAAAACCCTGCCAACTACCTGCCAATTTAACATCTAGTCAAGAACATGCGCTATGGAAAAAATAATAAAATAAAATAAAAAAATGTTTTAAAAAAACGAAAGTATAATCAAGGGTGACAAAAATATAAATATATTTCTGCCTTGTATCAAAATAATTACAAAAGGTCATAAGTATTTGAACATCAAAGAGTAACAGTGACCCAACAAATATTAATCCACAGTAATATTATCAATAGTCCAGCAATAGAATATTGCATACAAAAGCAATATAAAAGTAATAATGTTCACCCAGAAATTAAGGTTTGGACGTATTCTTTGGCTTCATCCGCTGAGATGAAGTCCTTCTCAACACCCTTGAAAGTAATGCGGAGACGTGCTGGATGGATTAGTCCGTAACGAGCACCATCTATGCCGCGGAGTAATTTCCTGACCTCATTGAAGGCAGCCCGGGCCCGGGCCACCTTGGCAGTGTAATCCGGGAACACGGAGAGCGTCATACCTCTGAGTGGAATCTGACGGAGCTCTCTTGCACGGCGTAAAATGTCAACACAGTCGCTGTAGTAATGAAGCTTACACACAATGGCTCGTGGTCGTTCATTTGGCTGAGGCTTTGGTTGAAGGGTCCGATGTGACCGATCCAGAAGCGGCTCCTTTTCCAAAGCGAACGCTTCCTTCAGCAAGGCAGATACAGCAGCGGTGTCACACGTACCGGGGCCCTCGGGAACCCCCACTATCCTAATGTTGTTACGCCGTGATCTGGATTCTAAATCCTCGCATTTATTTTCGAGCTTGGCAACGTTAGCAGTCAGGCTACTGATTGTTGCTTTCATCACAGCAATGTCATCGGAACATTCAGATAGTGCGTTTTCCACTTCTCCCACGGTGCACTTGAGCTCGGCTAATGTAGCATCAGTAGCTGCTTTATTATTCGCGAGCTGTGTTTTAACGGTTTGTAGATCAAGCTGGATAGTCGACAAAGAATCCCCGAGCGTCTCCTGCAACTGCTTTTTTATTATCTCGGCGATGTCTTCTTTCAGCGATGTCATTAGCTCCACTTTAAGGGCAGCGGCGTCAGGGATAGCCTGCGCTTCGGTGGAACCTGGCGGCTCACCTGAAGGCGGGGCTGCGGTCTGTAAACCAGGCCTCAGCTGCGTCTGGATCGTATTACGCGATTTTGTATTCTTTCCTGACATCCTGACGTGATACAAAGTTACAATTCTTAACAAAAAGTGTTGAGAAGTAAAAATAACACAAAATGTGACTAAAAAGCGCAGATGAATAACAATATTAATCGAAATTGGCAGGAGCTCGCAAACGCACGTGTCACTCCATTGAAAGCTCAGCAGCGCCCTGATTGTGTTTTTAAGGCCAATATAAAAATGATTGCCTGTATTTATTAAGGAAACCCTCACGAAATCCCAAGGGCCTTTTATTGGACATTTTGTTTACAAAGCCATGGCAGCGTGTGTTTGTCAGGTGTGCGTTTAAACAGCAGGTTCCATTACATGCACAAAGTGTCTGGGAACTAGCCGGACACCAATTGCACTTCGCAAAGTGGCACTTCCTTCCTCTACACACTCCAGACTATGCATTGAACTACTGCCTGGCAACCGTCTGGAGAGGACCCAAGAGTTTTGATTTTTGTTTGTGTGTGTGTGTACGTGTGTATGTGTGTATGTGTGTACGACTGGCCGGCGTTGGATTGACACTCACTTCTGGCACAAGTGCGGCTTAATGACAGACTCTTGACGGTCATAAATTTCCACTGTGTACATTATTGTCAGGTACGAGCTGTGTGTGGCTCTCGCACACGTGGTTGTGTACCAAGCATGCGTGTCTGAATTCAACCGGACTCTTGTTAGGAAATTCCGAGCAACATTATTGAGTTGTCCTGGCGATACGTGGCTTCATTCCCAGACACCGCATCCTAAGGAATTGAAGTAAGAAGAGAAGAAAAAGAAAAAAAAAAGCTCACAAGAGTGGAACTTCTATTGTGCCAAACTAAGAGTGACTGAACAAAGTTGTCAGAATAAAAAAAATCAAAGGTTAAAAATACCAAAGATTTATATAAAACTAGCAGGAAACAGAGAATATGATTATTATTTCTGGTTCTTATCTTTCTATTTAGATACTACATCTGATGAAATGAGGAATGAGCCCTCACCAAATCCTTTCAACAGGGGTCTTCCATTGTTACTTTCTGTCCTATTCTTCTAATCAACGCCTGATGGCAATAAAAAGAAAAGATTCCCTAAAGGAAAACAGGCTGCTGGACGAAGTCCAAGCTGCTGCCCTGGTGAGGGCCAGGGAAGCCTCTGCACTGGGCCGAAGGTGATGCATCACGGTCATCCTCTCTGGGAGGCGGTGGCAGGCCACAAGTAAACACTCTTAAATCATCATCCTGGGACAGATGAAAGGGGGGGGGGGGGTTGTCACACCCCATCCCCTCCGCCTCATCCGTAAAACACACCACTAATGGTCAAATGTACAGAGTGAATGCAGCTATTCGTGAAACAGTCTGTTAATTACATCCGTTTTGGTTTGTTTTCGTCCCGATTCCAACATCACCTCCAAACCACTTCGTTTTCTGTTCTTCTTTTTCAATTTTTTATGTCACAGTACACTGTCGATACACTTTCTACCGACTTATATCAATTTCAGGCGGTTAATTTGGTCCCCCGGTGGTCTGTGTGGTTTGTTGGGATAGGCAGCACGACACCTTGAAGAGCATTTTATCCTTGTAAAAACAAGAAGCGCATAAATAAATGCATGTCTCTCCCAGCTGCACAAGAGGTCTTTTTGCTCTCCCACAGAGGTTTCAAAAAATCACATGAACTAAAGGCTTCTAAGTCACTTTGTTACTCAAAGCATTGCAAAATGGCTATAGAGAAATAAAAAACAGAGTTCAATTATTTCAAAGGTGAATACCAAAAATACATATTTTAAGACAAAATAAGAAGGAGGAAACAGAGTAGAGGAGGCAGACTCTGGAGCTCCTTTCAAACATATAGAAGAGGGAAGAAAACAGACCTCAACCCTTGATAATAAACAGCAAGTTTATGCTAAAAAGAAGCTCCCTACCCCCTCCTCTCTTTCTGCTCACACACACACGCTCACACACACTCCTCCCTTAGCCTATATAAGCAGACAGCAGCTGAAGTGACCCCCTCCACCCTGCATTCTCTCCTTCACTAAACACACACAAGCTGTTTGCGGCAAAAAAAGAAAAGAAGGAAAAGTATACGTTAGTGCATTTTCTTGTTTATTAATGAAAATCTGAAGGAGAAGGGGAAGGAAGAGGGGTGTTTTTTCACAGGCAAGAGTGAGCGGCATGGGCAGAAAGCCCCGCAATGTGGAGAGAAAGGGCTGTGCAGAGCAGGGCTGAGCAGAGCTCTGCTGCTCCCATCCCCCACATCCACATAGCAAAGTTCTGCTGCTTTTGCAAGCTGCGATGCTGCCTTCACGGGCGCCTTCCCAGGCTCGTGAAAGCCCAGTGTCGCAGCGCACAAGTGCTCTCTGCTTCTAAACAAGTGAATGTCCACCTTCTAGCTTTTATTTTAGGATTTAGAGAAGTGTTTACATTGATATTCCATTAAAAAAGAGCTCACATACATTGTAAGATATCGAAACATTAAACAGCAAACCGTGCTTTCACATGAAAAAAGGAAGAGAATAGTCCTTATCCGTCACCCTTTCCTCTGTTTGCTAGTGAACTGAGTGAATGAACCATTAATTGGACAGATGTGATGCCGGTGTCGTCAAATGCAGAGACACAAAAAAAGAACTGAGGGTGAAAAATAAATGTGGCAGAGCCAAAGTCTGCAGTTCCTCACATGGCAAGTTGAGACTGGCTCCAAAAGCAAGCAAATAGTTTCTATATAAAACATGCATGTGGACATCATTCTCAGATATAAATTTACCCAAAATGTTGCTATGTACAGTAAAACAAAGTTATGAACAGAATTAGACGACTCTTCTCGTTCCAATATACAGACATGGAAGAAAAATCAACTTATTTATAAAAGAATGTCTGACAGACAACGCTGCTCTATGCCTGCTTTCAGATGGGTCATATTGAGTATTTTCCTGTTGACCGACTACATGATGGACAAAAACTACAGAAACTATTCAGCTCCCATGTTGCCAGTAAAATTTTGAGCCGTAAGATTGTTTACGTTTTCTACATACTGTATTCACATCAATTAATCAATAAGAAACACTCTCCCTGGTGACTGTTATCTTTGCCTAGACTTTTCTTTCTGGCTGGCTGGGTTTTTTTCTGTTTACAGCCAGGTGTTTCAGGTCAAAGAGAAATTTTAAAAAAGGTACTCAATATAATACGCGAGTTGAAACCCTACAGATGATATAAGAACAAGGAATGGTTAATAGAAATGCTTATTTATACTTAACTGAACTGAGCAGAACTATCTAAGTGTTTTTTCCAACTTTCCTTGGAAAAATGGTCCTATTAAAATTTAACCTAAAAAGACCAGCAGTCAGCTATTAGATTTTTTTAAATAGATGTGAACATCTATTTTTTTATTAATAACTGTTTTCCCCTCCTATTCCACGCCTAACACAGTTACTGTGGAAGTTACTATAAATGCAGGACCACTGATGACCACATGGGTTTTGCTCCCAAATTTCTATATAACTCAGTAACTCAAATAGCAAAACTTTAAAATGTATAATTTTCACTTTTTCAACCAGTTTTTAACTCAATAGTGTACTTGGCTTATGTCACTCCTTTCTAGCTGCAGTAAATGAGGTCATTTTTCAAACAACTTCTTACGTAAAAATATGTCCTTTTGATTTTATTTTTTAGAACACTTTTGCAGTTTTACATTATGGACGAGCAGTACAACTTAATCCTATTAAAAGCAAAAACAAAACAATATATAGTATGGAAAATAATAACAATGGTAAGTTAAAAGACAAAATAATTAAAGAGACTAAAGAAATGATTTAGAAAAGTGAAAGGAGCAGTGAGAGAAACAAATAAGTAAATAAAATAAAAAAACTGAATAAATATATAAAATTGAATACAATAAAAAAAAACAAATGTGAGACTACATCACATTTGTACCAAATTATTTCAGCTATTGTACCTGGGCATTAGTTTTTAGGGTTTTATAATCAAACTAGTTCAAAGCCAAGGGGTCCAGGGCTTGTAACGGTAATGTCTCTATATACTCAATGAAAGACACTAGTCAGATTTCTTTCTCATGACATAAGTTATCTTCTCTAATTGTAAACAGGACGTCTTTTCTGATATCCATTTTGATACATACAGGGTGGAGTTCAACTTCCATATCAACGCAATACGTTGCTCTGGAAAGCTACATAGATACATTTCCTGGAACTCTGACTCAGCTTCAAGTCGGTTACATTTTCCTAGAAGAAATAGTTCCGGATCTAATAGGATTGGTGTATTCATGATTTGTGTCGGTGTGCCATATATATCATGCTAGAATGTAATAACTTTAGTACATTACCATGTGCAATGTAACATGGTGCCTACAGCAACGCCCCAGCTGAAACAGAGATTTGAAATAGAAGGTTTGTACCGGTGTCATTTTTGGGGGGTTAGGAAAAGTTGATGAGGGAAATAGTAATTGACCCATTTAAATCTGGCGTCCACAGTACCAGATAAGCTTTTCTGGCATGAGTTGGACCACACATCGGCTCCACCTTTATTAAAATTGCCCTGTGTTTGCTTGGTGGTGTGAACAACCTCAAGAGACACACTGACAAGGTATGACTACTACATGAGGAAGGCTGCAAGGAAAAACACAACTGTGCTCATATATTTAAACTGTATTAAAGATTTAAAAATCTGCTCTGCAAACATGCTGACCACGTCAATCTTTTAGTAGTTTCTTATTCTATAGATTGAACTTTGTTTCACTATTTTACTACAATTCAGAGTATATATATATATATCAAAGATGATTTCATAAATCTAACTCAGGCTGCGATTTAGAAAAATCCCACTGCACTCAAAGTGAGCATGAGGGTTGCTGCTGCTAGGAGAGCACAGGCAGAGAACATGAAGAAAGGGGGTGGGGAAGGAGAGATTGGTGAAGAGCTGTAGAGTGACTGTCCCTATTAATTGTATAGGGCGACTTCATGCTTCCTCCAGATTCCTTCCTTATTTTGCACTGAATTTATACCCGTAGAATGTTACATGTGT